ATACACACACACACACACACACACACACACACACACACACACACACACACATATATGATATTATCATATAATTTGTATATACTATAATTTGTATATATTTACAAAGTGGAGATAATATGATATGTAGATTATATGAGGAAATAACGTAGAATTTTTTAGAATATTAGGTGTAAACGTCTAGTACGAAAGATCATAGAAAATAATTTAAAAAGTTTGTGTATGTACAAATGTGTGTATATATAAATATATATGTATGTATGGATATATATGAAAGTTTTCCCGAACTTTGTTTTTCGGACTTCATTCGTTTCTTTAGCGTTTCCTTAAGCTTACCTGTCAAAGTACTTTCTGAAAGTACCACTCACGCAGTAGAGAGCAATAGGATTGATGCAGCTGTTAGTAAAAGCAAGGCAAAAACCCAAAATACGAAAGTAGTGCCAGAAGGCGTTGTAATCTTTTTCTGCAGTTGGATGAATATAAAACCACAGCATGAAAACATGTTGTGGAAAAAAACAAACAGCAAACACAATAACGAAAGCCATTACCATCTTTGCTACTTTTTTACGAGCTTGTACTTGCTTCACCTAAAATATAATATGTATTAGTATGCGTGCAAAGGAATGTTTATTGTATAAATTAAGTCAAGGTTAAAATAATTTCATAAATCTTGAATTAAGATTATATATATAATAATAATAAAAGATAATTTAGAAATAGCGATAGACATAGATAGATAGATAAATAGATTTCCCAAAATTTAAATTAAATTTTTATAAAATGCTATACTGTTTGTAATGTTCTTGTACATTATAATTGTAATTAAACACGCGAGTATTACCTGGCCTTGCATTTCACCGAGTATATTTCTTGTACTGCGCATAAGATGTCTGGCCATTAACATATAGAAGACAGCAATAATACTGAGAGGTATAAGGTAGTAGATGAAGAAACGACATATCAATACCACTTTTGGATAGGTCGTTCCAAATTCCTCAGGAAATGGATAGCATGCCTTTAATTATACATATGTATCAGAATCATTAGAGGACCTTTGCTAAATGATTTATAGAATAGAGAAGGATGCCATTTGCTTTGAGAATCTATATACAGCGCCGGTTAATGATGAGCTTTATAGGCTAGGTTTAGTATAGGCTAAACCTATTAAGACTAGTTATGAACATGATGATCAAGTCCGACTTACGCAAAAGCTCACGTTCTGATTAACCTTGAAGACCCTAATATACGCGAAAGAAGCCGGAATCGCGCATATTATGGCCAAAATCCAAATCAGCACTGCAACAACCACGGTGAAGCGTGTTGCTCGTCTTCCGCTACCTTAAATGAATAATCAAATAATTTAATTTTTATCTTTTAGTTTTTATTTGTTATTAATTAAATATACAAATTTTGTTCATTACTACAAGTGTGTAAATATTGATTATTGAGACAAGATAACAATTATTATTAAGATTATTATTACGTTAGAGAGATGAGAGATTATTCGTGATTGAGTTATTTTGCATTACGTCAGTTCTTCACGACTTCGAGATGTAAAGCTATAATCCTATACCTGTGACGTGCAATTTTCGCATAGGATCCACGATAGCGAAAAATCTGTCGGCTGAGAGAGCAGTTAGAGTGAAAACGGATACTCCAATAGATATATCCTTTGCGCACTCAGAAAATTTGCATAATATTAGTCCAAAGGGCCAAGAATCCAGAATGTAGACGGTAAAAGTAAATGGGACACATGTTATTATTACCTATAGAACAAAAGATTGACAAATAGAAATATTTATTAATTTTATGTAATAGTAATTAAGCATAAGAAAAAAATAGTGATACAATCTACAAATCATGTTAAATATTAATTTTCAAATTTGGTAAAAATTTTATTTGAATTGTTTTTGTTTAATTTATATTGTCAACATGTCTGTTAAAACCTCAAATCGAAATTTAATATTTGAGCAATCCGCATTGTGACAAAGCAGACCGCATCCGTCGGTGTTACATTTTCCTGTGAAAAAGCGGTAAATGTCCGTCGTAAATTTGTACAAGTTTATCGCACATTACATTGATGAGAATATAAGCTACTTGTTTATATAAAATGCGACAATGAAACATGACGGTCATAGCATTATTGTAAATATTCTGATTGAATTGAAATAAAACATTTTTATTGAGAAAATAATATACAATTTATTGATTTTATTTATTTTTAAAAATGACATTAAATCTTTGTAATCTTTCAGACCACACATGATCATCGCTTGATCACTTAGTTTCTATAATTCTTCTCCAATTTCTTTTCATAAAAATATTTGAAGCTTAAAGTCTTTGTTAATAAATTATGTACATTTTTAAAGATTAATATAGTATAACTAAAGAAATTTAAATAATTGATGTAGCTTTATTTTGACGAGATTATATTTTTGGATTACAAGATTATTTGTTATAGAGAAGGCGAATTTTTAAAAAATGAATAGCAATTAATAAATTGCACAGTACTGCTTTTTTTTAATAAAAATATTTTATTTTTACTTCACTAAAGTATTTTATAAATACTTTAAAAACCGTTACATTCCACCGCCATATTCCATATAACAAAAAAAAAAAAAGAAAACAGAAGCATTTGAAACTATGGGCGAATGATCGAAACAGATGTCGCCTAAAATTCCAGGAATGATATAGAAGCCGATTAATATTACAGGCCAAGAACCTCCTTCAGGTCGTATTAACACTGTTGTTTGGTATGCACAGCTGAGAGGCGTGAGTCGAGCCATCCGCATTACGTAGGATTTGCCACGAGGCGACGGTGCGAAAATCGACGGACTTGTTACTGTACGTACGTATCGACGTCACACAGAAACCAATCGATTTTGCTTTTCTACCTGATGTAATCAAGTGCACAAAATCTGATAGCAAAACTAACATCTGTAAAATACGCTGTTTACTGCAGACCCAATTTAATTGACATACATTTTTTTTTGGCTGTAATATATGTTATGTGTATACAAACACACACACACACACACACACACACAACACACACACACACACAAACACACAACACACACAACAAACACAACACACACACACACACACAAACAACAACACACACACACACACACACACACACACACACATACACGTATATGTGTGTGGTGAAAATTTTTAAATTGTAAAAAGATTAATATTTTGGTTGAGTAGATATTTTCATTTTTTTGTTAGAGATAAATTAATTAGATTTAAATTAATTAGATTATTTTCGTTTCCGTGTTAAATATATTTTATAGATAAAATGTGCAAAATAAATTATTATATTGAATTTGTTACAGACATAGTAAAAATTTTCAAAGAATTTTCAATGAATTTTTAGTATTTACGTGTATTTATTTCAAAGAGAAACTGCGTCAGAATTTTAAAATGACTTCTAAAAAAGAGAAAGATCAGGGTAACTTACTATCTGTCAAAAGTTTCGAAAGTTTCGAAAGTTTTTGAAAAAATGATCTCATATTAAAACTTTATATAACATTTTACTAACTTGGTCATAAATGGATCAACCATGATCGATATCATTTCCATTTAATATAAAAGTATTCTGTAACGATGGATTATTATTCATTCTTCAAAAAAGTTAAAAATATTTTTTTTATTTTATTATATTAAAAAAGTGTTTGCACAAATGTTTGTATATCAGGTGAATCTACCAAAGTTAATTATTTTATATTTCAACATATAATAATAAATTCTGGAGTTTTGATATTCCGATAACAACTTTATGCATTATATTTAATCCCGGTTAGTTATATATATTAATGGCTTTTATATCCCTTTCCGTGATATTAAAATTTGCAAATAAAATAACGATTTAAATTTGTAAGATGTATAATTTGTTGAAATATATATAATTTGTTGAAATAGCAAAAAAGTAACAAAACTTAGAGCAAACAATTGTAGAAAATATTGAGAAAAAAAGAAGTATTACATATTTATTAGAGTTAACGTAAATATTCATGTGAAAAGTAATATTATGTGCAATGCGATGTAATAAAAATGTATAAAATAAGACATTTATTTAAATAAAAGACGTGCATTTTTTGATAAATATTTATAGCCACACAAATTCGTTAACATCTCGTATATTGTAACATATGATTTTAAATTGATAGTGGTTTGCATCAGATATAACATGAACAGTTTCGTATACATCACAGAATTTCCTGTAGAAAGGAATCGATATATATGTATATAAATGTATATAAATGTTACGTGCCAGTAAATCTCCAAGTGCCAGCGAAAGGACGTACGTATTAGGTACATTTCTCATGTTTGTATGACGAAGGATTGTGAGAGCGAGTACGCCATTTCCAGTGAGACCGATTAGTAGAATTAAAAGAAAGACTATTGGTACGACATATGTCTCTGGCCGGTCGCTGTATGGTGTATATTCTTCTTCTTCTTCATTATTGTTATTCTTCGTTATATTAATAATAAAATCGCTATTAGCTTCCGTGTAATTTATCATCAGTGCCAGTGGTGTTATCATGAACATAGTAATCGAGGAGGATGGCGAGGCACTAGTCGCATATGACAACGACATGGCCGCTGTCTCTATTGAAACGTTTTTTTTGCTGTTAACGAGAATATGCCCCTCTTTGCATTCTGATCTTCCTTTTTCCGTTGTCCAAACCGCAGGTTCCAACGCCAGTGACAGTTACATATATCAACTGTAAAATAAAAAAAAAGAACAATAAGCTTTTATATATAGCAAGTTTATATATAGTAAGTTTAAAATTAATTTGGTTAGCTATCGATTTATGTTGTATTAACGCGAGAAAGCTTTATTTTCGGTTTATAAGCATAATCAGATAAATGATATTCAAAATATGTTAAAAACATAATAATGGATAAGCTCTATATGTTAAATATTTCATTAATGGAGGTTTAACACAAATTAATTGTAGGATTATAATCCTTTATAATATTATAATTAATAGGACCTGACATGTCGCAATTTATTACTACTTAAAGTGTCAGATGCATAACACATAAAACATTATATATTCCAACAATTTCCCCACGTATGTTATATACAAATCATGTACGTATTTAAAAATTAACACATAATATATAAGAGAAGTTGCAAAAAATGGTATTTATATATCTTATGTTTTATTTTTTATAATATTTTTACGTTTTTTTACAGCTTTTGTTTAAGCTTACTGATATAGCTTACTGATAATAAAAAAATAATATCTCTTTGAAAATTGGAAATAAGATTAATCTTTAAAATTATGATTATTTTTGAAAAATATAAAATGAGTTAGTTGATATTATCAAATTAGAATAACATATGAGTACAAAATAGTATATTAAGAAGAAACGGGAAAAATGCATATGAAGATTATTTTTTAATATTAACATATTTATTACATTTTTAAATTAACATATTTATTAATATATTTTAATATATTTATTAACCTGTGCTAATTTTTTATTATATTTTATTTTTTACATGTATTAAATGAATTTTTATTTAATTACTTTTTGTTAACGCAATTTAGATGACACGTGTTAGAAATATTCTTTTGGACTTCTCTTTGGTTTACTTTATTTATGTTAGAAAGTTTGCTTTATCTGTTTTAGAAACTAATCAAAATTTAAACCAAGTTTTGACAACTTGCCTGTATAATCAACTTGCTCCAGTCTATTTTAAATCCCACTTATAAGTGGATTATATTTTGCATCTGTGAAGCAAAGCGCTACTTACAAAGTTGTTGTATATTTGTACGTATTTACTGCTCATAGAGTGTTCGTTTGAAATTTGTAATTCTGAATAACAGAGCACTTTACAGGTCATTGCAATTTTCAATAATAATTTCAAATGCTAAATGAATGTTATGGATTGCCGTTGCGTAAAATGTGTGTAGGAATAATCTTTCACGAATATATATATATCGTTAGCCATCAATCGATTACGAATTTCACGTAATTCACACAGGAGATATGCCACTGGCTATGTACAAGGACATTAATCAAGCAATGATACGGTTAAGCCTCTGATACGGATTGACGAATTGTTGACTAAACCTTCTATATTTTCAATGTTACAACTGTTTCTCTTGATAAAAGAACATCAATTATTTTAAAATCAAACATTGGAACAAAAACTGTAATATAAATTTTAATAAATGCTAAAATAATAATTATGCTACTCATCAATCATTTCATATAAATTACAAGATGTTAAATCGATAACTCATAGTTATATATCCCTTGCTTCAATTGGCTAGAAGCCATGTTATCTTCCTGATTTGCTTCACTATATTAGTTTCCATTTTCGACCTGTCTTTGCCGTACCGTATTGTAAACTTTGAAATATTGCTTTATGGAAGGATAACTATGACGTGAAGAGATGGCAAGTTGAAAAGATAACGTAACAGAAGTAAAAGTAAATCGAACATCGATCAGAAATATTTCCCCCGCATCCATGTTCTTTGAGAATCTTTGAGTATAAAGATACTTATATTAAATACTTTATATATAACATCATAACGTTATATTATATTTAGCATTGACATTTCAAATCGCTTTCGCGAAAGCTCGTGATGTACTGGTTAAATGTTCTATATCGTATGCAGTATATGTTTCGTCCTGTTGGTGACGCGTGTGTATGATACTGGGATTTACAACTTATCTGCCATAAATCTGATCTAAATTTAAAGATCGCAAACAAGACTTGAGTAGGATAAAACAGGATTAGAACCTACGACAGGCTATTATATCACTCAATAGAGATATATCAAAATGCTATTAACTCTGTTACACCTTTATCTCATCGTTTGCAATGTCTCAGAATAATTAATCCAGAGAAAATTCAGTCTAAATTGAAGAGTATTCTTTTATTATTTGGTCTTTATCCTCAGTTTATATATGTTTATTAAAGAATTAAGAAGATAAGACAAATGCAGCGGATTTGATTCCATCACATCCGGATTCAGATCATACGATTTGCCATCATTCCAATAGTGCTGATTTTCATGTATAATTAATGGATGGATTAGAGAGAACAGATGATAGCAAACTGTATGCATGATAAAATCTCTGAGTAGAGAAATTAGCTCTCTATTTCCTACATTGGGCATATTGCATGATGCATGCAGATTCATGAAAGCAATGCATATCGAGCCACTAATATCACACCTCATTTGGTTACGCATTTCTATGATTATTACAAATCTACTGACATCCTATCCCTGAAGACACAGGTTACACGCGTATTGTATGCGCGATATAAGCATTTCTCTTTGACTTGTACCTAAATATCAGTCTGAGGAAAATTATTCTCTTTGCCTGTCATCCGTGATTGCAATCGTTGTGAAATGTCGGAAATGTCGAATATCGGAAAAATGCGCGACTCGAGTAAAATTCCGCTTCGCGATGTCTGTAAAAAACGAATGATCAAACATACTTTCCATAATCTTAGAGAAAAATATATTGTATTCAAGTATTTACAGATCAAGTATTTACAGATTCAAAACCAAAAAAAGAAATATAAAACAGGGGAAATGCAAATGGTCTGTAGCTTTCACGCTTTTTATTTGCAATATAGAAAAATGTATGTAGGCGTTTTCAACAGAGAGTTGGTATTTTCTATGTTTTTTTGCGCGTTTGATTAAACTTCCTGTATCCGTTACTCCATTGCTCTATAATCTTCGCTTCTCGTCGATTTATCTCTTCGATAACTCCGAAAATAACATAATTGGCGGTAAACGTAACTTTCTTTTTATTCACGTGTTGCATTGTAATTAAATTCTAAAAAAAAATTTGTTTGCGTACCTTGTATTAGCATCAATTTATACACCAATTTCAAAGAAAATGTGGGGCAGAAATATTTATAGTACGGCTGCGCTCTGGAGATGACGTAATGCAGAGAATCTTGACACGGTCTAATCACGTTTCAGATATAGCTGCCGGAATGACTTATGAATACTATTCTAAGTTTGAGATAGGAAAAGATTTAATATAAATTTCGTAGTTTATATACATTAGTTTATATACATTTTTTTGCACATAATAGTTCACAATTAGAAGAATTTTTTAATCTTTTATCTAAGGCGTTATGTAAAATATTTTTGCTTCCTTGTATAAAATATTTCATTAAATAATCTAGGAATTGAATATAAAATATATCAAATATCACGATTAAAACATGTACATTGCATTGGATAAAATTTTTACAATACTGAATCTTTTCATGGATAGAATGATTTTCCTCAACAATCGTAGAGTGTATCCGTCGTTATCGTATTTCTTTACAGGAATGAAGAATACGTCCACGTGTAAAACGCAAAATCTTGGCTAGTATCGTAAACATTTTAACGATCTATGACGAGAATCATTTTAATAGACGAGAATCGTTTTCCTCTTGAAATATCATGGATCAAATGATGGATGTTAATTGGGTCGAAAAAATAATCAAATCTGGACACATGGCCCAACAAATTTGGTCATTGGTTGAGCTGTCTCTGTGACTGTTTGTCTTAAAATAACTAATCATTAAAACTTAGATTTCCGTTCCCATTTAATTCATAAATTATTATTTTAATTCACAAATATGATATCTACATTTTGTCATCAGATCCATAGTTCAGCAAAATCGTTTCTGCACTCTGATTGTATTATAACATTTGACGATAATAATTTTCTGATCAAATTTATACTTCAGATTTTTCTTTTTGAAGATGACAATGGTGATCCGCGAATTTGTGAAATAGATTATTGCATTCCAATACTGCGTTCTGTCTATTTACTGTCTTTGCAAAAGGCGTATTATTATATTTGTGGTATACACTTTTTGCAAAGACAGCAAATAGTTTACAATAAGATAAATGCAGTATTGGAATTTATTTTTACTATATTTATTTCAACAAAACTGTAGAGAAAAGAAGAGCAATTGCCTTAAAAATTGCCTTATTGAATTATTACGTTATTATAATTGTTATATAATTGTTATATCGAATTGTAAACTTTTTTTTTGCGAAGACATTAGACAGATTTGCCGCGTGCCGTATTGTTCGCACTCGCTTTCGATCGATACGAGAGCTAAAAGAAATTTCTTTTCGTCAGTTCTGAGGGTGATTTCCCTCCATTTACGATCTACCTGACCTCGTAATAACTCAAGTACCAACACTGTCGCAGGTGGCGAGCTGACGCCGTATTGGCGGTTCCGTTAACTTTTGTAAGTGAAAAAGTTCACGCTTTCGATAGAGTTTGATTAACCTTGCAATTAAGGAGCGTTAATGATGTAGATAGAATTTTGTTCGGACATTGAATTTATCTCGATTGATTATTGATCGAATGATTTGCACTACAAATAGCCAAGAAGGTATTCAAAAATATATAACATTCTATAACAGAGTACAATAAGAGTATATTTTGTAATAAATTTCAAATTATTTATAATAACAATTAATTAATACATGAGTAAGAAGATATTTACAAATTTTTTTGAAATAATTTCTTACATAGAGAAAAATCTAATTATTAATAAAGGAGAATGCACCTTTTAAAAGGCTTTGTTATCATTTAAGGATTGTTTTATTTATCTTATGCATTTTTCGTCATGTATAGATAAAAAATTATTATTATAATGATGTACTCAAGAAAAAATTGCCACATAATAAAATTGCAAAATAAAATTAATACAATTCTTATTCACATTATT